CATTCGGGACCATGTTGGGCTCTAGTGGCTGCACAAATCGTAATAATGTAGGCCTGGGCGTTCCGTCCGGTTTGTCGTAATTCTTTGTCACTTTTACTGGTATTTTTACGTCTTCGGTCGTTGCTTTCTTGTCTACTATGGTTGTTGATACTTCTGATTCTCCTTTGGATGTTAGCGCTTTAACTTTTATTTCTTTGTTTATCATTTCTTGTTTGACAACCGGTATTACTAGTGTGCTTTTACTGAGGCCAATATCTTGTATAATATATTCGGGTGCTGTTCTTTGAATTTCAATCCCATTTATAAACCATTGGAATTTGACTGGTTCATCAGAGTTTGCTTCGCATTCAATTTCTGATGGCTGGCCTATTGTGACCTCCTTTTTCGCTGGAAGTGGCATAGTAAATTGTATTTGGCTTCTATGATCGATTCTTTCCACATTGAGAATCGTTTTACACACTGAAATGCCGAGCTCGTTTTCAGCTCGAATTATGTATTCACCATCGTCCTCTTTTGTACGTAGGTTATGTAAGAAGAGGGTATAGCTTCCGGCTGGTTTGTCCACCATAACTTCGTACTTACTAGAAAATGTTGGGGTCTTCACCACTGGCGGATAAAACTCTACATCATTGTGGAAATAGCGAACTTGGGGTTGTGGTTCTCCGCGTACTATACACTCGAGTCTGCAGGAAATCGGTTAAAATACATTCGTATTAATCTGCCCATCCTATGTGCTTCTCTATTATGTCAATTTGTCAACACTCCTTGCGTTGAGGAGAATATTAAATACATTTATGTGTTGAGGAATTACTCTGCTTGTAGCAAAACAATTGCTTCTCAAAAGGAATGCTCGAATTTAACCTAATAACTACTATTAAAAGGTGCCAATTGGCCAACGAATAGTAATTTTAACTAGACTGAAATTCATAAAAGCAAACAACGTACGGAATAGTCGTTTCCTCTGGTACTGTTATTTGAACAGGAGGGTGGCTTTCGAAGAGCGGGGGTTGTTCTTTCACAGCTGTTGATGGGGATTGGAAGAATTTGGTACAAATATTATTTCATTTTATGATAAAGATATGGGGTGTGCAATAGACTTACCTCCACGTGGTACACCCTGGGCAACGTATACTCATTCACCAAAAAAAGTCTATTAACCGGCATTTGACTTCTCACTTAAAAATACCATCATCCCACTGTATGTCATATTCCACTACTTTCACAGTACTCACCTCACCTTTTCTCTACCTTTGTGTCTGTCTGTTTCAGTTAAATCCGTGAATCACTATTCTGTCTCCCCTCTCGACTTTTTCTCACTTTGCAGTTTCCCCCCTCTGTGAATCCCGAAGTCAGCCAAATGCCTAATGATAACTATTCAAAACGCCTGCCATTTGAAAGAATAATAATAAGAAGAAGAATAATGTTAAAGAAATCTGTTTGGTCTCTAACCTGGCACAACAACAAGCCTGGTCACGGTGACTGCTCTTCCCAGTTTATTGAATGCTTCGACCATGAATTCAGAGGAGTCACTTTCGAAGAGTTCAACAATTTCTAATCGGTGATGAGTGGGCGTCACTTGAATTATTTGAATCTCTGGTGTTGGGCTAAATGGAGTGCTGTCTCGTTTCCAGACTAGTTGTGGAATCGGTTTTCCAACTGCTTCAATGTCCAAGGTGAGAGAAGCACCCTCTGGGAGCTGCATTACTTCATCTGGGAACGGAATGACAAACTCGGGCGCCTTTTCTTCACCTGAATATCGGGGAAAAAGCAGTATTTCGCCACTTTAAACTTCACTCAACTGGGTTTTTGGCCATTTAAATCACACATGCACGAATAGTTATGAACCCTTGACCTCTATATCACAATAATCTTCTTTGCCCCTGACTTCAACATTAACAGCATGAAGTATGACAAACTTGTGGTCTCTACAACATTTTCAGACCAATCACACAAGTTGCCTCTTTCAAAACCACTCAAAATGATGTTTTCTTTTCAAAGCTTTAAAACTGGAAAAGGAGCGAGTTGATCCACCTACTTAAGATATGCACTTTTAATCCACTTATTCTGCACAGATTTCAAAAAAGCCTTGACTGTCTAATGACCTAATAGATTGAAAGATTGTCTGTAAACTAGACCTTCATATGAGTACATTCTATTGAAATTGATAAGAGCAGCACTTTTGCAAGATTGTTGACAAAATTTGGAAACTATGCCCATTGCATAGAGACTATAGTAATCCAATTAAACACTAATCTCATTATGTTTCGTTAGGAATTGGCTGACAATTGTTTTCGTCACGGTGGCTGACTCTCAAAAAAAGATGAAATAGTAAATTTATGGGACTTTTTCGAATCTTTTTCCATCGTCTCTGGAATATTGTAAAACGCTCTCTAGAAGATCAACTATACTTTGACTTGTTTCATAAAATCCGTAACAGTCTATAGGCAAGATAAGATGAGATTTTTAAATAAAATTTATGCGTGCTTATCATTTTATCATTCATAATCCCCAGCCACTCTTGATAGGGGGAAATTTGCATCCATTTACTTTCAGATGATAAAAAAACGCAACTTGCCTGTCACATTCAATCGAACTGTCTTCTCTGTCGTACCCGCTGGATTGCTCGCACGAACTGTGTAATCACCAGCGTCTTCCGGTCGAGCCTTCTCAATATGTAGAGAGGCTACTCCATCGGGTCCCATCGTCACGTATGTGTTTTCTGTGGGTCGAATCTCCTGGCTACCCCGAAACCATGTAACCTCCGGCACTAGAATATACAGTACTCCGAGGATAAATCTCTCTTTCAAACAAATTTGGAGGAAGAATAGTGTGATTAAGCTTACTTGGAGTGCCTGCTACTTGACAAGTAAACGCCACAGGGGTATTTTCCTGCACATCAGCGTTTTTAGGACCTTGAACTATCACAGGAGATTGTGTGGGTTGTGGTTGCTGAATAGGAGCTTCTAAAATTAAGTAAGGTGTGCATATTTTGCAACCCATTCATGTTTTTTTCTGTTTAAATGCGAATACAAAGATTCGGAATTTACTTTGTACGGGCCGTAGCTGTGGAATCTTTCCAGGCGCAGGCTGGATCTTCAAGTTAGCTGTTGCCGTGACAACTGCATTGGGTTCAGCTCTAGCCTCTTCTTCGGAAATATCGCTACGCAGAGCTTCAACCGTCACAATGCCACTTTCTTCGGGCTGACACCGACGAAGTTCAAGGTGGTATAAGAGGCCGTCAAAGTATACAGATTCTCTTGGTTCTTCAGCACTTCCTTCAATTGGCATAACAGGTTGTACGATGATGCCGTTGATGTACCAGTTAACCACCGGACGTGGTGATCCGCTAATCATTGTTGAGAATCGAGCGCTGTTGCCTTCGACAATTTCAATTGATTTTGGTGGTTGGCGGATTTCTGGATATGGGGAATCACTTGGTCTAGAAAAGAAAAGAAGAACATCAGGCGCGGAAATATAATATTAATTGGTTAGGTCCAGATATTTCACATCCGAACATTTAATTGGTTCATACGCACACTGGGGGTGGGAATGTGCAAACAATTGGTCTTCATATGACAAATGCCATCTCTTTGAAGGGTGGATTCACGCCCATACAGGTTGGTGAACAGGGAAAGCCTCTTTTTCGGTTTCCTAAAATCAACTACATTATAACCCGTCTACATTCTGATCTAAAAGCATTTCAGAATGACTCTGCGATAGTGACGCGCTCAACAAATAGGGCAAAATAAAACTTGTAATAAAAACGACAAGCTAGCACGATCCTTCACAGGGCCACATTTCCACTTTCCCAGTTTCCTTTACGTAACAATTTCATATTTATATCCTGTATCATAGCAATCACTGTAAACTTTGCTATTGTTTCAAATGCATGAGTTCAAACTTACCCTGAGAGAGAAGTTCGCTTCTTTGGAATAAAAAGCATCTTCTGTGGTTCCTCACTTATCGGCTTGGGAACTAAAAAAGGGAGCATTATTGTTAAAATTTAAGAACATTGTCTTGAAATCATACTTTACAATGTCGTGTGTCTCACCTTCCACTTCCAGTTTTGTTCGGCATGTTGCGGAGCCTGCAGTGCTAGAGGCAAGGCATTGCCAGATTCCACAGTCTTCAGGAACCACCTCAGTAATGGATAATTGAGTCGTATTTTCTGTGATAAAAACACTGACATGATTTTCTGCTAGGTCATTTGGAGGAATAAGTCTACAAAGAAGAGAAGGTTATGTGCATTTATTCTAGAGTGAGCTGTTGAAGATTTCGGAAAACTAACTTTCCATCCTTGTGCCAAGACACCACAGGAGTAGGTACTCCTTCAAATGTGCATTCAAGAGAGAGAGTTTGTCCAGAAGTAGCAGTAAGTTTAGGAGCTGGTTTTGTGATGAATTTGGGCGGAACGTTCAACTGTTGCGGCTTAGGATGAATCTGTACAGGAAAGATTAGCTCCTTAAATCCTGCGGGATTACTAGCAACGCAACGATATGTTCCACTATCTGGCATAGGCATTGGTGACTCCAAAGAAAGACAATACACCGATTCGGGAAGTTTCAACAGCTAGAAGGAAATCAGAACATTACTTTCCAAGGTCAAAAGCTACACCAAATTTATCAATTGGCATCAATACTCACCTTGTGCTTGAAGTCTGGACGCACTGGTCGATCGTTGAGGATCCAAGAAACTTCCGGTTCAGGAACACCCTGAACTTTAACTTCAAGTTTCATGGGAACTCCTTCTTGAGCAGATAGCAGACCCTGTGAGTGAATCACATCGGGTTGACCTTCCTCAGGTGAAGGGATCGGGAATGGAGCTCGAATGAAAATAGGAGGAACGTTCATCGGAGTTGGTTCCTCACGTGCGTGTTCCAGTGGTGGATTTAGGTTAACCTAAGAGCAGGAAATGTAGGTAACAGTTAAGTATACTAAGCTAGAACATGACTGATTCTTTAAGGATTCTTGCTAATACCTGTACAGTCGTTGAATCCTGTCCATACGGATTTTTAGCGAGTAAAGTGAAAGTTCCAGCATCACTTTGATTCGGTTGAGCAAATGTGAGAACCACCGTATTATCGGGCTAACAAAAGACAAATTTAGAGTTTCACGATATCATAAATGCGAATTCAGTGATAACAAATTCAAAATAAATACCTCGATGATTGGGTAGACTGAATTGCTTGGCTGAAGAGGTTGACCATTCTTCAGAAAAGTGACAGTGGGTTTCGGAATTCCTGAAACTTGGGCAGTGACTCTTGAGGGAATATTCTCATTCAAAGTAACCGTATCAGGTAGTCTGCGTACGAAAACTGCTGGTTGGCCAGCCTTTTCGGGGTGCTGGAATTCAACTGTTACTGGTTGGAATTCAGTTGTCGGTCTTTCGATTTGCATTTCCAACTCAGTCATATGATGTTGAGGTTTCTCTATCTCAACATCCATCACAACTGGTGAGAACTTCCCCTGAACTTGCACGTCAAGTTGGGTTCGTTCTGATGGTGTGTAAGGAACTTCTACGGTTACTGGTGCCATGGGCCTAGAGAGATCGATACGAGTCAATTCCGTATACCTAATGAAATAACAGACCTCATAATTGAATGGTTTAGTAAATGACGTTAGACGTGTGTGAATAATGAAACTTACTCCTGAATTAGAGTCAATCGGGTGACAGATTCCACCGACCCATACTCATTTGTTGCCCGCACTTTGTACTCACAGAAATCTTCCTGTGAGATTGATTGAATTACGAGACGGTAGAGGCCAGTGTTTGGATTCGATTCCAAGCGGTACTTGTTATCTGGGTAGATTTCTAAGCCACTGCGATACCAAGAGACACTAGGGGGCGGCTGGCCATAAATTTCTGTTTCGAGCACCACTGTTTCGCCCATTTTGCAAGGATATGTAAAGGGGAGTCCCTTAATCACTTGTGGTCGTTGACCTAGGGGTCGAGCTGCAATAGCGAAAGCCAAAATATTAATAAAATAAATTCATTTCGCATTTGTAATGTGATGGCTAGGAGGTCCTTACTCGTTGATGGTGGTTGAACGACATTTAAGTTTAAAAAGGTCTCTGTTTGTCCTACTGAATTTTCAGCCACGCATCGGTAGATTCCAGAATCAGTTGGGAAGAGCTCATTAATTATTAAACGTCCAGTCATGGGAACAGGTCCATCTAAAAGTGCTTCAGGTTGAGCCAATTGTGGACCCTGCTGGGTTATGGCCCTGTCTGGAGTGGAATCCAGGGGTTGACCATCTCGATACCAGTGAAGGAAGGGTAGGGGATTCCCCATAGCTTCTGCAGTAAGGGTGAGTGGACTTCCCGATTGAACAGTAATTTCAGGTTGAAGTGGCTAAAATCGGTAAGCAAACAATTTTCTCCACCAGCATTTCAAATGGTATTGTGTGCACAGCTTTAGAAAGACTTACAATCGTGAACCAGGGCCTTTGTGGGTGGGCCTGTACATGTGGCTGAACTTCAGGTTGCAATGGTTCCACCACGGCTAGAATTAGTATGAACAAAAATTAGATTCAACTCCGAGACCAATGAAGTGACACATTAAGTAACTTACGTCTTTCGAGCACATCCAGAGTTAAAGTTGTTTCAGCACGACCGAAGGGATTTTCAGCAGCACATGCAATTGTTCCAGTGTCCGATGGACTAACACCCAGTATTTCCAATTCACTGACCATTTTAACTGGTTCCGGCTGAATTGTAGCAATGTTCTCTAGGTGGGGACCGAATTGAGAAATCTTGAATTTCGGACCGGTTTGGAGAGGAACACCATTCTGGTACCAGTGAAGGAAAGGCATGGGATTCCCCTTGGCTTCCACCGTCAAAACCATCGGAGTTCCTTCATCGACCCTACGTTGTGGAGGCAGTGGCTGAAAAGAAAAATTGATGCTGTGAAATTGAACTAATTTGAATAAAATTATGGTAAATTTGAAATCTACAAGTTCAGGCAAAAATCAACCCCATGTCATTGTTATATTAAATATTGACGTGGAATACATCTCAATCATTCACTCAATACTTACTTTAATGAAAGTAGGAGCTTCCGGATTAGGTAGAATAATCGGTCCTGGAGCAGGTGATGCCAGAGGAACTGAAAGCTCAGTTCTTGCCACTTCCTCAAAAGGAGTTAGAGGAGATGGCATGGCGGATGTAGGTCTTGATTCTAGAATGAAATTAATATCAACAATAATTAACCTGCACAACAAAATAGCTTTAGTGGGTCACAGCTGCATATCTCACCAAGAACCGTGACAATTCCCGAGGTGATGGCCTCTCCAGCCTCGTTCTTTGCGACCACAGAGTAACGCCCAGTGTCGGTTACAAATGCACGGGGTACAGTCAAGGTGTGAACGCCATCAGCGAATTCCTCAATGATAAAGTCGGGTGAGCTGATGATATCGTGCCCATTGACAGCCCATTTGACATCTGGTTTTGGATGACCGTCAACTTTAACAGTTAATCGCAAGACACCACCATTCATTATCGTTGTATTCTCCAATCCCTTGATAAACCTTGGCGCCAAGGCCTTTGTAGTGATTGTCAAATAGGCGTAGCTTTCAGCTGTTCCAGCTAAATTTGTTGCTTCACATCGATAGGGTCCGATATCTTCTTCATGAAACTGTAAAACAATGGTACGAGCCATTTCACAAGAGCTGGATGCAAACGTGCCTTATGGAAATACAGAAAGTATAAACCCTGAAATTTTGTCATTGATTTTACTCCTTCTCATTAGACTGTCTCTCTCCATACCTATTTCACCAATAATTACAGTTTCTTCCCGAGTTAAAGGCACTTATTTTGAGAACTCTAGAGTTCTTATAAAAGTAGGGTATCCGTAGCGTTTCCACTAGCACAACCACTCAGTCAAACAGAAGAAGAGCACCCGATGCAGAACAAGTACCAATCATGTTTCAAGGACTTGCGAATACTATAGGGAAACCCCATATGTAAGCAGATGGGACTTCTAGACCATGGTCTCTCGCCCCTCTCTAACAAAACTTACTTTCTGCACAGACCACTTGCAAATTCCACAATTCTTCCCATTATCATACTATTGTAACACACTCTATATAGGTAGTCATTATATTTCTTGCGATTTCATGAATAAATATGGCTTTACTTGGGCACTTTTACACCTTCTACAACTCCCCTTTTATATTCGTGAATCGTCGATTAAAACTGTGTCTCTTACACTTGTTTGTACTTTCGTTTAATCTTAAAGCTTGTAGATTTTGATTCATTAGAGTGAAGTTATGGGACTAGATGATGACACTTTCAAGACCGTAACTTGCTCAATTTTCTCCATAAAGTCTAAAGTTTAAAAGCATTTATACACCTATTGGTTTAATCGCATCTAGGAATAAAAGTAACAACTATTTTCTATTTCATACTTCCTTTCTACTTAAGACAATAAAAAAGCCCAGAAATGAAGGTAAATTTGGTATTTCCCAACTGTAAGATAATAATTACCTCCTTGAGAGTGAGTTTGACCGTTCCATCAGGACGATATTCAAGACGAAAATCGGGTGTATCGGTTATGGGAGTTGATTTCTTGAACCAGGAGACAACTGGAGTGGGCTTACCAATTACAATACCCTCAAGAATAACCTGTGATCCCTCCTCAGCGACAACATTATTCAAGTGCTTCACAAACTTTGGCGGAGTAGGAATTTCAACAACAAGATCGACAGGAACATACTAAAACAAAGCAAAATACAAAATATTTAAACGGAATGAAGCAGTTAAGTTGTTTTAAATGATTGAAATATCTTTTATCTACCTGCACATCGACGTCAGTTGCGTAGCTCGTTGTGAATTTTTCCTCTGGTTTTTGAACAAGCGGCACAACGTCCATAGAGTGTTCAATGTCAATTTTAGCTTCGAAACCTGGCTGGAGTTGTGGTTGAGCTGCCACTTGTTTGTTCATCTGGGTCTTGTAGCGAAGTTCTGTCAATTCCCTTTCGAGCATCATTTGACGTTCAATGTTGGCCTTAGATTCAAATCCACTTTCAAGCGGAGGTCTAGCGGGCATTGTTTTCTCAGCCTCGGTTTTGTATCGAAGCTAAAATGAAGTTAGTGGCTGTTAGTAGCAGGTCACTTTATCTAGAAATGTAAAAAAGTAGAATAGATTAACCCTACCTCTGTCAATTCTTTCTCAATCTCCATCATTCGATCAATGGTTGCCTTCGATTCATATCCTACTTCTAGTGCTGGTCTGGCTGGAACAGGACGTTCTGCCTCAGTCTTGTAGCTTGGAACCATAGGCACAACTTCAATATTGTGTTCAATCTCGCCTTCGCTTGTGTAACCAGGTTCAAGAGTCGGTTGGATAGTGACAGATGCTTCTCTTTGGGTTCGATACATGGGAATAATTGGAGTAACTTGAATGGTCTTCTGGTGCAGTACTTCAGTCGATATTCCAGGTTCTAACTGAGGACGAGCTCTAATCGGAGTCTCAACCAAGACTTTGAACCTCTCTTGAGACACAGTCCGGCTAAGAGGTGTAGTTACTTGAGATGTTTGGAAGGTACGGTGAGTTTCGTAGACGGGAACCATCGGTACTACATCAATAGGTCTCTGGAGGTCCTCAGTAGACAAGTATCCTGGAGTTACACGTGGATGACTGGCAACACGATGCTCAATTGCCGTTTCCTGTAAAGGCACAACTGGGCAAACCTGCATCCTGTTCAAAACTGTGAGACTACTTGCGTGTCTAATCTGTGGACCAGATGGCTGCATCGGTTCAACTTGTCCCAAAATCTACTCAAGAAAATTTTCGCATTTAATTGACCGTAAAACAGTTAGCAAGAAAGAAGCAAAATAAACAACTCTACTCACCTCAACTTTACTCATTGTACGCTCTGGTGGCAAACGGAAGGTGAATTGAACAGGTGGCGTAGTATGTCGATCGTCAACACGCAACTGAGTTGTTGATGTATAGCGACGGAGTTCCGGAGGTTCAGATATTTCACGAACAATACGCCGAGTTATTGGTGGGGCGTAAGTGGGGGTCAAATATACAGAAGAAGTGGGACTGAGTTGTTGCCATGTTGGTGTTTGTTTTGGCAAAGTAGCATAAACTATGGGCGAGCGAAGTGGCGTCACGGATCTTTGTCGAGGAAGATGGACAGTTGCGGAGCATGTAGCTCTTCCAAATTTATTTTCAGCAAGCACCTCATAGTGACCTGCTGTATCGAGACCCGGTTGAATAATGGTAAGCGTATGAACACCCGGTGGTCTGTCAGCAGTAATATGATAACGACGATCCTCGGGTCTTATTCTTTGATTAGCATGTCGCCACTCAACCGTAGGTCTAGGAATGCCCAGAACAAAGCAGTCCAGACGAGAGAGTCTTGGTGTATGAGGCTTCAAATATATATCACTGAAGAAGAAGAACGTGACTGTGAATAAGTAAGGCTCAAAGGAAATTAATATAATAGGATAACTGAAAAAGTAACAAACCGAAGTGGTTTGCTGAAATTAGGCGGGCCCTCGTGGAATGGCGATACATCCAAAGATCGGGGAGTTCTCTCATTTGGGAGGATATTCATGTGAATTTCTGACTGACAGACTCCAACACGATTCGAGGCAACTGCTCTGTAGTGACCAGCATCTTGGATATTCGAATCAGTCAGATTCACTATAGCAGTAGATCCCACTTGGGTTATCTATTAAGTAAGGATAACGAAGTTATGTGTGAGGGCTTCTACGGAATGAGTAAATGTAATTTAATGTAATTATGCATTATCGCAATTCGATATTGCTAATTTTTTCCCAACTGTGGGTGTTTGATCCATAGATCACGCACATAGGTGAAGGACTCACTTAATAAAAAAATGTTTAAAATTTAAGACAAACAAGTAGATGTTTTAAGAACTCGGGAGTCAGAATTATCAACAAAGAGCCGAATTCAACGCCTACCTCTACGTTGGGAGATGTTTGAAGCACAACGGAGTCTTTGTACCACGTAATGACAGGTTCAGGACGTCCAACAAAGCTACATTCCAGTGTGACTCCTTCTCCCTCATTGATTGTCAAATATCGAGGGAGAGCTTTAACAACTTGCGGCGGCCTGTCTACAGACTCATCGCCACTTGAGAGTGCTACAATTTCAGAAGAGTAAATAAATCATTCCTAGAATAGAATGAAGACGCAAAAAATAGTTAACTGAACTTACGTTCAACATCCATTCTGCATGAAGTTTTTGCCACTCCAGCAGGGTTAGTAGCCATACAAGTATACTCTCCATGATCATTCAAGTAGATATCACTAAACTCAATCCAGTGATTATCGCCATCTGATCGAACGGTGTAATTCGGTGCTGAAGTCAAGGCCACACCGTCTTTGAACCACTCAATTTGAGGTTGTGGTCTTCCAAGAACTCGGCATTGAAGGCGTACCATTTGACCCTCTGTTGCTGAAGCATTGTGCAGTGGTTGGGTAAATTGAGGTGGCAGTTGGCCTGGAACGAATGCTCGTTTATGGCCGATCAAATCACGTCTATGTCTGAGAAGAGTAAAAAACAATTACAACTTAGGTCAAAAGTGAACATATTCGAAATCTAGTTAAGCCTACTCAGCTCTGTAGATGCCGGAGAATTGAGGCGGAACAGAAGTTGCCCTCCATGAAGATCTCCTTTCACTAGCGACAGGAGAATAGACCTGATATGGAGATAACCTATCTTGAGACTCTGGTCTAGCTGGAGTGAAGGTACGCCTTGATGGAGACCTCCAAACTTCCTGAAGTGGCGATTGTTGAGGTGGTCTACGATTTGGGGAGACTGAAGCAGCGTCAATCAAATCATCAATATTAAGAGGTCTATCCACGCGACGTCGCAAATCAACGCGACAGGAAGTGCTCGCTTTACCAGCTGAGTTTCGTAGCGAGCAAGTGTACTCACCGACATCTTGTAAATAAACTGCAGGTAGTTTCAGTGTCGCTTTGTCTTCAGCTATGTTTGGAATGGCCGCACTTGGTGTTGATTCGAGAGGTTGGCCATTAATCAACCATTCAGCCTTAATTGGGGGCGTACCCTGCAAAAACGATCCACATAGTTAGCAAATACTTATATTTTATAAGTAGAGTTATTTGTCGATGCACAAACCTTAAATTGCACTCGAAGTTCACATGAATTTCCCTCTGGAATTTGCTTATTGGATAGAGGATGGACGATTCGGGGAGGTTCAATAGGATTGACATGGAGCTGGCACGTTGTAACAGCCTCTCCTCTATCATTCGTTGCTCTGCAGGTATAGTTCCCATCGTGAACAGGTGTGGAGGCATTTCGGATCTTAAGAGCACAAGATCCATTAACTTCAAATATGACGTAATCAGGATTGTTATCAATGTTAACACCGTCTTTAAACCAGGATATCTGAGGTGTTGGTTGACCGGTTGCCCGACATTCAAGCATCACCGGCTCATTTTCGTTAACATTGGTTGATCGTAGTGGTCTAATGGAAGAAAATTATCGATCAAAGCTCAAATCAATTTGTTCTAATAAGATCCATTTATTCTATATTTCCATAACTTTAATTACCTGATGAATCTTGGAGCTTCACCAATTTCTTCTTCAAATGGTGGGAATGTAGGAGGTGCTTGAGTTCGTCTTCGCTTCAATGGTGTAATCATCTCTTCATCAACCGAAGTAAGCGATTTATGGGTTTCGGTGACTGTTAGGGAACCTGATGTCTCAGCTGCTCCGAAAGGTGTCTTTATGCGGAAAGTGAAAACTCCAGTATCATCACCAAAAACTTCTTCAATCACCAGACTGGCAGAGTGTTGATCCATCCTAGTGCGATAGTCAGGTGTAGTAACAGGTAGGCCATCTCTATACCAAGTCCCTTCTATATTCACTGTATCAGGATAGCCTTGTGGAATGCCGTTATCAAATGTTGTCTCCAATGTTACATGAGTACCTTCAGCCACATGGATGTTTGGTAGGGGCAATGAAATTCTTGGCGGGGATGGCCGTGGAGCATGCATCTGGTGACTTGCAACAGATTCAACGGCCTCAATAATAGGACCTTGAAGGCGAGCAAGATCTACGAATTGTTCAGACCTCACACGAACATCCTGTGCAAGTTTCGTCAATGATTCAGTGGAATCCTGGAATCTTGAAATGATCGGTTGTATCTTTGTTTTTGCACGGTCACCTATTTATGTAAAAAAGGCAAGCATTGATTAGAATGTTCAAGCCTCTCTTGATTTGGTGTGAAATCATTAAGTCCATCACCAGTTTACTGTAAATAAATAGTTTACTCGCTTCTGCTAAAGACAATGGCTAGTATGAAATATTAGCGAACCTGGATATTGAGCAGCAAGAGATTGAAGCTGTGGAACATGATGCACAACGTATTGGTATGCTCTGTCTCGTTGAGCTTCGATGTCAGAGATGATTTGACGCATTTGAACTTGATCTCCGGGTGTTAGACTTCTGAGTCGATCACTACTTCTAGCTAGATCCACAGTAAGAGTCGAAAGACGGTTTTCTGCATCACGAACAGCTCGAAGTATCTGAAGCGTGAGATTTATTTCCGTGCGGCAAGTATTTGTTCCAGCAGCCAGATTCGATACGCGATTCTCAAATTGTTGTCGTTTCTCTTGAAGAAGTGGAACATCGGCCGTACTAATTTCAAGAAGATCTGAGGGGCCACGAATGGGCTGCATGCCAGGAAGGAAAGCCGTGCTTCGAACTTGGCCTTGTAGATCCTTAAATTCGAAAAAATCAAGTTGGTAATCATTTCATATAAAAGTTGAAAACCTTAGATTCGGAGACAAATCTTACTGGAATTCTTTGTTCAAGAATACGAAGACTTTCATCTGCGCGTTCAATTTGAGCTATAGGGGCATCGAGATTAACTGTTATGCTGATACGTTGGAATTCAGACTCTGCATCTTGGAGATCTCGTTCGATTTTCTCGAAAAGAAAGAAATGCGTCGATAAGTCAAACTCTTTACTCTGTAATGGGGAAAAATTCTTAAAGCTTACATCCATTTCAGTCATTCTTCCGATTTGTCGAATACGCTCCTCTAGAGTGTGCTTATGGGCATTAAAGACATGTTCCCAATCCCTCGACCGCACTTCCAGACCAGCAGTGGCGACACAGAGCTCGGACCTAACTGAATTCACTAAATCAGCATCTCCAGGTCCATGTGAAGTTGAGTCGGGCACCTCAATGTATCGTCGGACACGTGATGGCCCGTCAGCGCTAGCAGGCTCTGCCCCAACTAGAGAGGCAAGAGTATTGGCTTTGGCATTAACTTCAGCAATCAATTGATTCACGTAATCGCCATCTCGTAGATGTTCTGCCAAATCGGCTTCTACCGCTGGAATGCTTTGTGAACGAGGAGCCCGGACGATCCGAACTCTTGAACTTGCCATGGCTTCGTCAAGCTGAAATTCAATAGAAACTTACTTGATAGACTGTTTTCAGTGACTTATCGATAATAGCTAAGACAATAATCCTAGAATTTGTCAATTATGCGTATATTTTACACATTTATTTCTTTGAAGAAGATATCTAGGTTTTTTATAATAATATCATTCGTGGACGATATCAGAGTGTCTGCTACCAAAGCCGATACGGATAACACAGGTAAAAAAATTTAAATGATAGCCCAGAGTTTAATTCCAAAGTTGCATCCTCGGGGAAGCGTTAAGAATTAATAAAGTAGGTCGTTATCTTATCACCCACCCGAATGGAGCCCTGATTGGAGTAAAAATCTTTTTCCAACCCTTATTTCCTGTCGGTTCGCCTTCTAGATCTCGTCTATCATAACTCAACGTCCTCATTTGACTTATTGTACTGTTTAAACAGACTTACTAGAGCCCTTCAGTCGTCTTCACCTTGTCCCACTTACCTTGCTCGTTCTTTGTTTAAATCCCCACAACGTTTACCTTCACGACAGACGTATTGGCCCCGTTTCACCTCCATGCTCCATCAATACTTTGTATTCCCCCCCCCCCACCTCCCCTCCCCGCCCCGCTTCCTGCTCAAGCCTGCGTATAGTCATGAGTCATTGGGGCAGATGACAATTACGCACATAAATTAGCGGGTAGACGTTTTGTCTGCTGACCTATTTTCGCCGTGTTTGTAGGTTCAATCTGAAACTAAATGTAACTCCCGAAGTATGAGTTATTTTGTTTTCAATAAGAGTGTGCAAAGTTATATAATGAGTCGCATCACCAGAGTTGTGAACTCAAAGTATATATGACATTGAGTCTCTTATTTGGAAGTTAAGAGGCTTTAAAATGCTAAACTACCAATAACGGATAGATTGAAATTATATCCCGGATTAGAGTGTTTTGAATCTTCAATATCCATCTATAATACAATTTGAATATCATTTTCTGTAACTAGATTTTTATTCTCAAGCTATCTTATGTTGCTGTTGTGACATCTCCGAAACGTTAACTCAAGCAGCGACACTAAGTTGCATTTGCCAATGCAAACAAAGGACACCTATTTTACTGCAAATAGATCCAATAAAAATGATCGATCCCCTCCCAGCCGCGAAAATATGAAATAGAAATACACCTTGCTACATCTCCACAAAATTTATGCATGTACCAAACATACCCGTTTAGCTGTCCTAGTGAAATCATTCCACTTTTCTTCCCAGGAGAGCCAGATCTGTCGGGTCGATTGGAGACTTCGCAGTTGTTCCTCCACATGATTAAGTCTTTCCAAATTCAGTTGAATTTGACTCCGGTAGAAGTTCTGTGGCTCTGTTTTGTCTGTATCTGCATCGTCAATTCGTGAAATCTACAAAACAATACAACACATCCACTGGTGTGCTACTTGTCTTTATTTCAGTACTATCATTTACATTAGTCATTTATTTTCATAACTTTATTTTTTTCCATTTATACACCAAGCTGACACTGCCAAGCAGCCTCTGTGCTGCACGTAGGCATGGTAATTCACCACACCGGGTACGCACCGGGCGTACAATTATTGATCGCGTGGGCGGATGAACGCATGCTTTGGTCGTTAAAGAAAGGTCACTATATCTCCCCCGCGTGCATGGTAGGAACGTTTGCACGTCCCTACGCGCCTACCTACTAACTTTGGCCTGCTGGGCAGGACGACCGTTTTTTTGGTCCGCTTGTACCCCCCATTTAATTGTCAATGCGCATCCACATGCATGCGCGTGCGTATATTTTAATTTGGTGAAAATTAGGATAAATATGAGACATGTGAAATCAAAGATCCTACCTCCTCTAGAGCACTCTTTAGGGCCATTTGTTGAGATTCCAGTCGTGTTCGAACTTCCATCATATCAGAGTGGATACGGGTCATTTCACCCTCCCTTAGTTGTCTACTAACTCTCATGTCAACGCCACCATGTATCTGTGATCTGCCTGCAGCGATTGACTTGATGCGATCATTAACAGCTTGGTAGTAGTATTCATCTTCCCGAATTCGTCTAAGAAGACCATTCAGGTCTTCAGCCATGCGTAGGCGGATAGTTATTGTTCGACGATAGCGTGCCCATGTCTCTACGATCTCATCCAAGCGACGCTAAAATTTATGCAAAAGTATATATTTAATCCTGTCCATTTGTCCCATAAATTGCATAACTCTCTCTCCCTCTTACTAATTCATCTTCAGCTACTAAAATAAGTATCAAATAAAAGAATGTTCGTGTGGGATTGTTTATGTTAAACCCATTTATCTGGCATGATTATATGGGCCCATATTTTCCCTACCTGGAAGTTCTGCTTTTCAGTAGAGGGGGCAATATTGAGGATAAGTGTGCGGAGATTGGATATCTCGCTTTCCTGAGAGGTCATCATTCTTTCAAGACGTCTATGAATGTCTTCGAAGTCAGATACAAAGGAGATTGTAGTCCCTGGTGAGTGATGAGTCTTTAGGACACCGCTCACAGTTTCATGGGTCCATCTCCAGAGCTAAAATGATAGAAAGAATAGTTTTACTCGTACGTGGTAATGGAAAACAGCTCGAATTCAGGAAACTTACAGCTGTAAGTCTGTAGTCAATTTCCCTGAGTTGTTGGTCACTAGCATCAAGAGCTGGGAAGCCACCGCAGGCCATGCGGCATCTAGCAATAATCTCTTCGATTTCATGAAGTTTAGCCGACATTGCAGCGTCCGCTCCAACTGTCAAGGGAGATACGGGTCGTGCTGGAGGCACGGAACGTGACAGGCTCAAAGTTGTCGCCGAGGGTCGTTCATCTACTCGAGAGCGAAGCTCGAATAGGATTTCCCTCAAGCCTGGAACGCGCATCTCTAACTCTGTGAGACGTTGGAAGATTTCATCGCGGACTTCTGTTCGTGTTTTGCTGCTCATAGTGATATCATTTTCGAGGGCTCGAAGATGCTCAAGAAGCTAAACCGAAAAAATAGAATTAATGCTTATAATGGTTTAAAAAAACTGTCACTATTAATGTTTCCAACACTTACCACAGATGCTTCGCTGAAAAAGATGATACTAGCTTGAAGACACCGTCGTCTGGACTCAATACGGTCAATAAATTCCCAGATGTACTTCTCTGATGTTGCGAATCGCTCCACCAGAGCATTGTGAGCAGTCTGCATATCAATGTCTGGTTCGTCTTCATTTTCTCCACGTGGAAGAGTAAGCTGTTGAGCCTGTCTAACCAGACGTGTGTTAATATGCTGGTATTCACGAGCATCCACTGCTAAGCCCATAAGGGCTTCCATCGCAGATTCACATTCCTGTAGACTTCCACCAGGTAAAGCGGTTGCTAGATTAGGCTCTCCAACCTACATTTCAAAAAAAGATAATTGTTTGACTAACTAGTGATAAGATTAAAGTTATATCAACGCCAGCTCGTATTTCAACTTATTTACAGACATAATTATCTGATCCCCACTTCATAAACCAATTTCACCCTCCTTTCACCCAAGTTACCAACACGTGGACTAAATTCGTAGCCAGAGGGGTGGCTAATTTTCCAAAGTGGTAGTATAAGGGGGGGGGCATTGCTATGAACGGTAGATTTGGCCCGAAATCAATAAGCAAGATTTAGCCTTAGCTTTTGTTTCCTTTAGCACTCTCACTTAAACATGCCTAAGTACTTACAATATTTGGACACTGGTGGAACAAAGGAGATTTTAGTTAAATGGAATGCAATTCTGCCTTAAGATATGGAAATAGGATGGAAAACAGGACAGATACTTACACGAGAAAACCATTGAACAACTTGTTCATGTTCAGTTTCAAGTCGAACAACGGTGTATCGCAGTTGGAGAAGGCGGGCGCGTCGCTCCCAAGCGGCTTCCGCGAGCCTGCGGGCCTCATTTGCATCTCCAGTGACTGCTGCAATGCGTTCTCGCGCCTCAGAACTAGTTCTAGTTAGCCCCGACTCTGGGGTCTGCCCAGTTCGAACTGCCATTCTTGTCAATAATTCCAGAGCTCCATTTGCTGCTTCCAACATCTGGCGCGTTGGCTCCAGCAGCTTTAGACGTTTGAGTTCTTCGTGTTCCTATAGATGTTGTGCAGAATATTATAGTATATTAATGTTACAACTCAAAGGTATGTACAGAAAAAAGACGAAAAAACTACCTGAATTAGTTGTTCGACGGTTTCAATGGAGTTGCCCCAGTCTCCTGAGGCAGATGCTTCAATAATTCTAGATACAGCAGCGTGGACAGCTTCAGCATTCTCAAAGCACTCAGACACCAACTGAAGAAGATGTCCTCGTTTTCCAAGAACGTCAAGGAGTTCACGCCATGCCTTGTTGAGGGAAGAAGACATCGCGGAGTAGACACGGGCTTGTCCTTCTGTAGGTTGCTGACCCACCATCTCTTCTGCTCGTGTCAGGAGTTCTGAAATTTGAACCTGTTTGGCTGCCAGCTTTGAGACGAGGCTGGCATGTTGTTCCAGTAACTGGCGGACTTCTGTTGAAGTACCGCTCGCACCGACGTCATAGAGATCTGGTTCCATGCGCTGAATACGCACCTTTATCCAAGTACCACACTACAGCAACAACATGAATCCAGGTCCATTAAACGGCTTCCATTTTAAACGTATTCGTTATTCTTATTGCCCATATATCTCCCCCCAATTTCTATGAATATAACTCGAAGTTGATGATACAATGCCTAAATACTACTACTACTACTACGCCAATACTAAATGATACGTTGCCACCAGAATGTAAAAGGAGCATGACAGCTCAGAATGAAATTTTTCCTGCAACTATTTCCAAAAGCAATAGGCTAATAAAATGTAAAAATTGATAAATTAAATCCATAAGTATCTTCAAAACCTTATAAATAAGACTTTTCCAAGTCTTTATTTATTTCATTTCCGATTTATAAACCGTGTGAAATCACCTTAATTAATATTCAATACACAATCAATTCTTTTCTTTCAATTGTTATTAAATAAAGCAATCTGCACTGTTTACTTCCTTCATTAACCGAGAGAAGGTCAACAAACGTTTGTTTCAATGTATTTTTGTACATCTTTACTTGAAAAAAATAGTAAATATTTAAATTTATATTTCATGGAAAAGTAAGATTAGTCATCATAATAAAATGATTATATACTGATGTATACACTGAATAAAGTGCTTAGTGTTTTAAGACATTTTGACATTTATTGGTATCTGACATCTGTTGGCAAGAGTCAATTTGTACTTCCTTTAATTAATATCATTGAAATCAGAAAAATAGGCATTCTAAAGTTGAAAAGTTTTTAGTACATGCGGCATTCATAAGAAGGAAAGTCATTAAAAATCCTAGTTACTAAGATTATAGGTGCATCGTAGTCAAGACCGAATGGTGGAGGAGTGAGGTCAACTGCAGGTCACACAATTTTTCCTTATAACATATCGTTCTATTACTACTAGCAAATGTGTTGCCCCATTAAAAAAAAGGCTATTAAAAATCAATCGACAAAAGTTTTGAATTTTTTAAAACAAAAAACAAAAAATAATTTACTCTGAGAACAGCCAGAATAATTTTGGACTGCCCGGCTTGAACAGCAACAGTGCTGATGGTGGTAGTAGAGGGGAAACTGTCTGAGAAATCGGAGGAAGATTGGGTTGAAATATCTTCACGATCCGACATTTTGTTACTTTCTAATCAAGTCAAGAAAGGAGGCGAAATGTAGTAAGCAGAATTGCAAAGGTGAGTTCAAAGAAAGGCTGATAGCAGAAGCAGAACGGAAAACGAATAGGGATTATTTCTGGAGGGGATTTCAATGGGCGAAGAAGGCTGCTCGCGGTCTTTTCCACTAGCAAAAGAAAAGAATCCGCCCGTTAGCGATTACCTTCTTAGCACAACTGAGAGGGGTCTAAAAGCTCAACTATCCTAGTTCCCACTAGGATTAATGGTATCACCACTTTGGCTCTCTAACAAGTCCCCCTCCCTGGTGAGATAAAATATTCCGGGATGGGGGATATTTCGCAGTTGGCCTCCTTTATAGAAATGAGATCCCGTTGATCTCAGTAGGTTGGTTGGTTGTTGTTGTTGTTGTTGTTGCAGAAACGCGACTTGCTCAGAAAACGAACGTTGTTTGTGCACACGTTCGTGTCACTGATCTAAAGAGTTCTACGGCTAGTTCTACGAGCTTATAAGCGTAGCAGGGGGAGGTGCTGACCAATCTCCGGAAGGAATTTTCGGTGCGTGGAAGAACACCATTGGCTGGGTGCAGAAGTGGCAATGTCTACGCGACTGGCATGGCCAAAATTCTCCTTGCGCCCACTTCGTAAAGCCTTTAATGCCTTCTTTATTGACGTTTGACTGTGTGCAAAGAAAGGGTGAATCGTGAACCATCTGAAGAGGAAAGCCTTGCCTCTCACCCTTGTCAAAAGTGAACAGGAATGTTTGATTTAACTGCATCAATGCACAATATTTAATAAAAAGTTCTAAATGGCAATTAATGATTTGCAATCATATTTGTAATTCTTTAATTGGAGACAAAATGAAACCATTCAGAATTTCAACTGGAAGAAATTTCTATGTCAGCTTTTGTTAAACAATCGTAGAATTAGTTTAAACGTTATGTAGAATTTTGAATATTTTGTTTAACACTTCCAAGTTCAACTGGCAGACTCAAATGAGGCTGAAATAAAGTAAAAATTTGCAGGAAATCAATGGACTTCGATTTTGATTAGTATTTAGGGAAGTAATGAGGTACATTATTAAAACATTTATTTATTTATTTATTTCAAATGGAGGGCTTTATGACACTTAACATTAGCCCCTTAGATGAATACGGGCCTCACAGAGGAGAGGAGCATCAAAGTGGAAAAAAGTGGATAGGGGGGAACAGAAGAGTGATTCAACGATGTTAAAGAGACTGACAAACAGACACAAAGGCAGAGAAAAGGTAAGATTAGTACGGTGGAAGTGGTCGAAATGACATACAGTGGGGTCATGGTAATTTAAAGTCAGAAGTATATATATATATATATATATATATATATATAGGCAACGTATACTCATGCACCAAAATGTCTTTAAATCGACAGTTGACTTCTCACTTCAAACTATCATTACCAGATTGTATGACACAGTACTCATTTTACCTTTTCTCTGCCTTTGTGCCTGACTGCCTGTCTACCTCTTTGACATGTGTAAATCACTTTTCTGTTTCTCCCTCTCGATATTTTCTCACTTTGATGTTCCTTCCCCTCTGTGAAGCCCGA